CCCCCAACACTCTTTTTTACTCCGATGTTGTTTTTTTTTTTTTTTTTTTTTTTTTTTAATTAGTGGAGCTAATGACATAAATTTGTTTTGCAGTGCAGTACCAGCATATGGGCTTCTTTCATTCCCAGGTGTACAGTAGTCTACATTTCATGTCAGTAGTGAAGCCAGTCATTACAGAGTCTGTCCCGTACCATCTGGAAACTGATTCTCATACATTATATTTTAGGTCTTCCTTGCCAGAATGAAATGAATAGAATTCAAAAGCTAAGTAGAGGGAAGAGTCTGTTGGGTAAGTTCGATTACTTGCTATTCATTTACTCAACTAATTAAAGCTTCTGTGATTATTGTAACTTTATATGCAGTAATGGTTTTTCAATTAGAGACTAATGTTTTGAGTCGGGAATATGCACCACGGAGTATAGGCCTGACACTATGAAATTAAACAAATAATGAGATAGCAACACACAGAACAGGTGTCAGCATGGCAACAGGTTCAGAACTAATTTACAGTTCTCCAGAAAAGCAAAGCCTTGTCTACCCAGAGCTTAATACTGCCTTCATCACCTCATAGGGCAGAATAAGTACGGAGGCTGCTTGATACTCAAGCCTCCCTTTTTTGAAGGGTGACTGAAGGTGCCACAGTACATAGCCAATGGGTTCACGTCTTCTTCCAGTTATGGTGCCATGCATGCATTCCTTGGGGTTCAGGTTTGCCTAATCAGCCTTAAAAATATTTCAGTATATTCCATGTATATGAAAACAGGAATTCGTATAATCTCATTTTAGGTAGCCCTTCAGAATGCTCTGTACTGTAAGATGTGATAGTGCCTACCCCTCTCTCTATTGACTGTTGGGAGCCTGAGTTGATTCATAACTTACACTGTTCTGATGGATATCTAAAATTAGGTGAAATAAATCCCCATATGGCATTTTCCCATTTAATTGTTAAAAAAATGAGGTTGTTGAACTGAGTAAATTTAAGGTAATTAATTCCATATCCTAAAATCACACAGCATTATGTAGCCTAGCATTTATGTGGTGGCATCTTCTTGAAACTTCTGTCCTAGCACATTTACGTACATAAAGCCAAATCATGCAAGGCATACCAGTACAGATTAAAGTCTCTGTTTACAGAAAGCACTGCATTTCACCCTTGAAGAGTCTGGCTTACCTCAGACCCAGGCTGTCAGGCTCTTCATGAGAACCCGTGTCAGGTTCTTACAACATCACTACCTGCAGCACAGAGCATGCATGTCAGCTCTGCTGCAATGCTTCTCAGACTGCAGTCTGCTGCTCAGGTTGCTCTCAGATTTTAATCTGATGTTTCTAGGTACTCATTAGCAGACCCTGCAAACAGAGCTTCTGCAAAGCTCATCTTGGTCAAACCCTGCCTTTCCCAGATGCCGCTGCCATTTGGACTCAAGGTTCAGGTACCTTATGAACAATCCCAACCTGGATTCATTAGTTTAAAATAAGGATAAACATTCCCAAACACCACAGGGACTGTGGTTTAGTTCCATCACCCTTTCATAGCAAGTTCACATAAAGATTAAGGTGTTTCAGAATCACAACTCCTGCTGTTTGTAGCTGTGGGAGCAAAGGGAGGATTGATCGCTCAGTTGTATGTGTGCTCCATTCAGTAAATATTTTACATTTGTGTTCGAATGCATGTTGTGGCAGAGGAAGTCATGGTGTTCTCTGGCTCATGGGTGTCATGATTTTCAAAGCCACCTAAAAGAATAAGAAGCCCAGTTCTTAATAGATAGCTTTGGCTATCCCATATTTACTTTGTGCTTTACTGTTATTTGCTATATGTAATAAATGTCATCTAGGTTGAAACATAAGTGGTTTGTTCCAGTGTGTGTGGAAAAAATGATGGCTATATTGCAGGCAGTATCACATGCAGGCAGCTGTAGCACATGTCACTGGGATCTGATCACAATAGCAGGAGTAAAACGACACAGTAAAAGCAGTAAGAATGGTCCCTTACCACAAATAACTTCTAGTCATCTGTATTTAAAAAAAAAGATGAAAGTGGCTAAGCTCAACAAATCAAGAAGTGTCAGGCAGAGGTTGTTCCACAAGCTAGAAAATTCGAATATAGAGAAGAACTCTTTGTTTCACCTACCTTGAAAGTCTGCCTGCATAATGGCACCTGTCCGTGAGATTCTAGTCTGATCTCATAGGTATTTATACAGCCGAAAACATTGTCTTTTCTCTTCACTGACTGAAAAATCATGCAAACGGAAAGGAAAACATACACGTGACAAAAAAGACGCTTGTAGCAACAATAAAGATTGAAAAGGGAGATTAATATTTTCAGAGAAACTAGCCTTTAATTATTCTCTTTCCTTCTCTGTCCCTGACATATAGAGCACAGCATTTACAGTCTGGGCAGTACACATGAAGAAGATTTCTGTTAACTTGGGTCCATTGATAAGAAACAATGACTTTTGATATTTTGTTCTCTATATATTTTTCAAAACACAAGACAGTTGCAGCAAAGTACTTCAAAGCCATTGCCATTAGATATGTTGAATTTGGAGGCTTTCAAATAGAGTCTAGCATCCCAAGGGACTGAATTAAAAAGTAAACAGCACTATTCATCTTTTCCTACCAGATTTATCTAGAGTACAATTAACTGCAGAGAGTGTACTTTTAGAGCATACAACTGTGCAGCCTGATAATGCTTCTCCCGCATCACTTAGGTAATAAATTTCTGCTCCCATCACTGTTTTCTTCTGTATCAGCCCTGTGAATTCAGCTAATATAATAGCTAATACAAGGAGCTGTGTGCCGGCTAGCACTTAATTCTGTCAGGCTTTTACCTGTGTGCTTCGCTATCTTTAGCATATAATTATTCTCTCCATGTCCTCTGAGGAAAGGGAGGATTACATAGATAAGGAAGTGATGAAAAAAAAAAAAAAGAGAGATAGGTCTGGATCCTTAAAGAGGATATAGATCCAACAGTGCTGTTCAAGTTTGCATGGAATAATTAATTACTCCATGGGACAAAGAGAAATGGGGGAAGCAGGATTCACTAGCCTGAGGCAGTTCAGTGGGGAGCAACTAACATTTCATAATGCTTAATACTAAAGCTGGTTCACCAGCGGTCCTCTCCACACTTGTGGGGAAGCACTGTCTGTGCAAGAACCTCTGGAGAGGACAACTCCTTTCTCCTTCCAAAGTCTGCAGAAGTTCTCTGCTGCCAAACCAAATTCTGGGGTGAAATATTATCACTAAATGGGCTGCCTGGATACCATGGTCCAGGATAGCAGAGCTTGTAGCCAGAGCTTATTTCTAAGGAACACAGGGGTGGATTTGTGTCGGATTTACAGGACAAGTCATCATGCTGTACATTTGCTCCCAGTGACTCTCTGGCCTCACCAGATTATCACCTGCACCTGACACATTGGAGAGGACCTGCTGTAACCCTCTGCTGGTTGCCAAAAACTGTGACATTAGTATGCATAGCTAAATATTTAAAGCTCCAGTGTTACATACAAATTGGCACAAATTTCCCATGCAGGAGGAAAAGTACCTTCTACTCTTCACTGTGACCCAAAGTGTGAATCCTTTCCACACACAGTTATGTTGGCAGTGAGCCTGGGCCATAATTTATTTTTAAATCTATGGCTTTTACAGGCAGTGTGGAACATTTTAATACCTTACAAGAAACACAGTGAAACTATGCAAAAAGACCTGCTTCAAAGAAGGGAAAGATTGCATTGCCCGAGGAAAAGAGAAAGCATGAGACAGTTTAAAATGCAGAGGCTGTTCTCTCCTCACCCCGTAATGCCACTGAGGTTCCCCCTTTGATTCTTCCCTGGAGCCAGATGCTGATCTGCTATAGCAGGGGAGTGCTAGTGACACGAGTACAGCTATGCTGATTTACACCAGCTCAAAATCAGCACCTGAGCACTTTTCCCAAGGTTGTGTATAATCTGATAAACATCTGGAGCGCTTAACAGAGAGAGGACATGAGCATAAATATGAAAAAGAGCTTAATCAATATTGAAACAAAGGATTGAACAGTGAGCATTAACTTGCAAAAGGCGAATACATATATGTGGTTATTAGAACCATTTTTTAGAAATAGTGAAAATGAGTCTTTGCTAGTCATCAGTATGCTTACATTTGTACATGAACATAATGGTGATACCTATAAGCAAACCTGCTATGAGATCGTGCCTTGAAGTTATTTAAAATACTCTCACTAATGGATGTGAAGTGGTCTCCAAAACTGATCCGATGTACAAAGATTTCTGCAGATGTTCAAAGGTTTCTGTTCTCATCTTCCAGGCCTACCTTAGCAGCACTCAAACATTAGACAAGACCTGCAGTGCGATGAGTTTGGAAATTCAAGGATGCACTTTATATAGATGAGTGAGTGTGTGTGTATGAGATTGACTGACTTCCACTTTTGTGCCTTTTATCTAGGAAATTTCATGACATTTGGACAGCACCTTCTCATTCATTTTTTCTATGAGAAGTGTAGTGGAAATAGCCCCTTTGACACATGAACTGTCTGAAGAGATGCTACACACATGGAACTAGTTAAAAAACTTACTGCATGACCAGTAAATCATTGGTATCTCTGACAAAGGAGAAAAATACTTTCTCAGAAATCATTTGAGACAAGAAATTTGGGGGGCAAGGGTGGTTTTCTGCCATGTTTCAAATTGAAGCAATTGGCAAAGAAGGGAAAATGACTGTACTGACCTCCCCTGGGAATAAAGCTAACTCATCCTGAAGGACAAGAGGGCTTTTCATGTTGAAGTACATTTGCTGTATCTACTGAAAATGGTGGGAACAATAAAATGGGTTTCTCCTGAGAGCTTCCCTCTCTGCAGAAGCCAGAATGAACCACACTCTACAAGGCTGAACTGTAGTGGTTTTATTGTGAGGCAAGTCTTGGGCTTCAAATCCAAAGACTTATTGGCTTCAAATCCTGTTGTCCTTCTTTGTAAAACTTAGGCATTACTTCTCCTTTTATACATGGGAACTCTCAGTAAGTCGGAAGTTGTGCTTGAGATCAGTATGAATAGCAAGCAGATGGCAGATACCTTCCAGGGATGATTACAGTGCTGTGGAAAGACTTATATGATAAACACTAAAGGAGTGCAAATGGAAGGGAAATGCAGAATTAATGAAGTTGGGGTAATAATCCAGTTGGGAAGAAAAGTTTAAAGCCAGGAGTTCAATCTGAAAGGGGCTCTGTGGGAATATTAATCGTTCAGGGACAAACTGAACCTATCTCTCTCTAGTACCGTATGCCATCACCCTCCATGCACTATATATGCACAAATATTTATACACTGTGCAGTGACCAGGGTGGCTGAAAATAGTTAAACATATATAATTTTTGCTCCCTTTTAGGCACCAGATGATCACATGTATTTTCTTGCCAACGTTGTAATGATCTTCATGTAAATAAGTGACATGTTCATAATACTCAATATACCTGCTTGCTTTTGCAGAAGCTTGCATTACTGATTATACATCATATTTTATGCAGGTGCTTTCATCCCACGGTGCAATGAAGAGGGTTATTACAAAGCCACTCAATGCCATGGCAGCACAGGGCAGTGCTGGTGCGTTGACAAGTACGGGAATGAGATAGCCGGCTCCAGAAAGCAAGGGACAGTTAGTTGCGGTGAGTAATGATGTGCTTTCCTCAGACAACAAAGGAATTAACACTGTTGTAAGCCTTGCCATTGCTGTACGATGGACTACGATAACAAAAGCGACAACAGGGAAACATGCCTACCAGTGTTCAAAGTGCTCCTGTATTTTCCTATTCAGAACTCAAATGGGGCCCTTCCATACATGTTGGTCCTTAGGACTCGGGGGGTGCAGCAGAAGTTAACAGGCAATAACCACTGATAAGAAGATATTTTTGCTACTAGCCTGGAAAATGGAGTAACTGATATTAAAATTAAGGCTATGGGATTGCTGTGCATGGTTATTAAATATATTGTTCTGTATAATCTGGAACACACAGTTACTGGGACTTCATGAATAATGTCTTTCCAGACAAAGGAAGGCCTAAATGTGTAAAATTTTGTAAATTAACCACCAAACCCAACAAAAGCGCTCACAGGACAGTATTATGTAGATATGTGAAATCACCTATTAGCTGTTGTACCTAGGGAAGCAAGATTTCAGCTGTATTCCTTCAGAGAGCTTCAGTGATGGTTGTGGATACAGCTTTCTTCTTCGAGAAGGAACAGAAAAAGCAGAGACCTATTAGGTCTGAGATGCCCAGAATCACATCACAGATTTTAGGCTCAATAGCTACATTTGCAGAGCATGGTTTATGCACTGAAATAAAATCAATTTGTGGAATATTTTTAGCGTTTACAGAGTTGGGATGGGATGAAAGTATTTACAAATGAGTAATGATTTTCTGGCCTGCATGCATGTGAACTGAGACTCTCCAGCCGAGTCTCCAGGAGGAGGGCGATGCATAGTTTTTTATACAAGTCAATTTTTCAGAGTGAATTGATACATCTCTATCCCAGTTCAGGATGAAAATTGAAATTTAGAGGTTGTTACATGAATAGCTGAACCAATGAATTTAAAAAGTAACATTGCAAATGACAGTGGCTTGAATGACAAGGGTAGTGATGAACAAGGGATTTATGTCATGTGAGGGAATGACCTTTCCTGCTCACCTGTTTCAGAAGAAGAGCAAGAAACCTCAGGGGATTTTGGCAGTGGTGGATCTGTCGTATTGTTGGATGATTTGGAAGAGGAACCTGAAGCAGCAAAAAAAGACAAAGAAGGGAAGCTGAAGATTCATGTAAGAGCAGCTAATGAAGATGATGAAGATGAAGATGATGATAAGGATGATGAAATTGGTTATATATGGTAGTGCCCATCATAATGAGGACTCACGTTTTGCACAATATTGCAAGTCACATCATATCTCTGCAATTGTATCTGAGAGTACCTGGCACAAATATTCCCTCTCTACTGAGTTTAATTTTGTATAGTCTATTTAATTTGGAAGACAACTGTTTTTTTCCAGCAAGGACTGTTTGGAATACAGCTTTTGTTCAGTTGGTTTGGGGGATTTTTGTTCTATCCACAGGGGCAATGAGTTTTGTTTCAAAAACATTTCATGTCTTAATCCTCACTTGCACAGCTTATAAAATATATCCTGTGAAAGAAGAATCACAGAAGGGGCTCAACAAACCAATATAAGGCTTAGAAGCCCCTTGACATGTTAGAGAATTTGTGTCATAAATTGTTGCCTGGATCATATCAGAAACAGTTATTTTTCTTTCATGAAGAAGGAAAAGTAGGTGCCTCATTTTCCAGTCTATATTTGTTACGTTCCAGTAAAGAGTAAGTCTCTTTGGATGGTGACTTCTGGCTGCCCAGCAGCAGGGGTTTAATCCAGAAAGACACCCACTGGCAGGATTTTCTCTTCCTTACATTCTCTGAGAAGGAGTCCAACAGGCTTAATCCAGCCCACACTGACGGCAGAGCTCTCACCAGAGCGTCGAACAGCTCACTGACGCTATTTGGTTAAGGAACATGGCCTTCATCTTAAGAGATGCTGAGAACCTGCAGCTATCATGGGCCAAGCCCTATAGGCGTCTAGAAGATCCCTAGAGTCTATCTGCCTTTGAAAGTGT